AATTACTCTTCGAGATCAACATGTTTCTTCAAGATCAATGTGTTTTGTTCCTTTGCTGAACATGGTTGCAAAGTAAAAGAGATGTGATGTTTGTTCAGCATTCAGACAGTTTTGATAAGACAACACTGGGTGGAATCATACAGATTCATAGATTGGCATTCTGGATCTTAAATGCACAAAATATACTCGAATATAAGAAACCGCTTTGTCAGATATATCAGTGAAAGGTCTAAGGAACACATCGATTCATCAATTGAGGGCAATAAGTTGCAGGGCATATAACAAGGTAGAAACAATAAGTTGCAGGGCAGATAAACAACAACAAAGCTTCTTAGACCCAAGCAAAGTTGGGGGCAGATCAACAAAAAATATTAAAAAGAAATCCTACAAGTACTGTATAATTCTTACTCACCTTCTAGAATACCTGTCAAGCTCTATAAATAACAACCCATCGGATAAGCCAGCTGCTACTGCCATTCTTGCTGGCTCGACTGGTCTGATGCCATCACTGCATGCAAGACTTCTATGGACTTGTACAGGAACCTGTTCTTGCCAAGTGAAACAAGAATGACATAAATATGGAGAATAAAAAAGTTTCACATGTATGCATGACAAATGAACCCACACTACCATCAAATGTTTCTCAAAGATTAAAGTAAAACACAAATAAACAAGAAAATGTGCACACATTTACATGTCACTTTGGAGGACTAAGATAGTAAACATGGACAGCATTTGGAGTAGATTATCCAATAGATTGAATTGGTTCTTTGTTTTCATACAAATAGCTCTATGTAACAGGTGACTGACTGGCTGAAAAACAAGGAAAAGCTGCCACAATCCGAGCCAGAACTTCAACCTATGAATAAACAGGATTTCAGCCACTGCTAGCTGAATATAGATACCACAGAAATCTGTCGCAGCTGCACTCACACAAGCAATTTTCTCATAAGCTGATTCAATCACAGATATCTTCTGGAATGATTAGACCTTACCTCAACTTTCCAACATATGAACTGCTTCTTGGGTGCAGATCATCATAGTCATAAGAGATGATATATTCTGTATGTGCTCCTTGTCTGAACCTTCGAGCAGCCAAAAGAAACTTACCTTTATCCGTTAGCGCTGCCAAGAGGACAAAATAAATTAAATATCACATGAAATTGCAGTCAAGAATTCTAGACGAAGTGTAACTTCATTGCTACAATCTCTAGAACAAGCTTATTCAGATCGATATGGCAGGGGATAAGAGATCAACTGGACTATTGTGGATTCAAGTTCCCAAGCCATAATGCCTCTACATACCATACTTGTGAGAAACTGTAACCTTATTTATACAGTGAAATAGCGAATCATACACTTGACAGGACCTAGTATTTCAACATTTTCTTGCTTTCACAGATCATAAGTTGAACTAATTATGTGAGTGGAAATGGATCATGCAGAGTTTCCAAAACTCCATTAGCATTGCAAAATCATCTACTTCACAAGCTCTACTATGAGGCTGCTTGTTTTTTTGGTCAGGTACCGTTTGACCTTGCTGAGCAAGGATATAGAACAATCTTCCTTGTTTGGTTATCTTGCCTAACTACCTCGAAGTTTGTGTAGGCAAGGTTTGCCTTGCCATCTGAGAGAGTCAAATTGGCTCTCCTAGCTAGGCAAAGTTGTCGTACCTCGTGCTAGCCAGGTGAGGCCAGGCTAGGCAAGCCATCTAGTGAAACCAAGCACGTCCTATATATTATTATGCCAGCAAGGTAGATCTCCAAAATTTATATTAGCCGTTAAGATCAAATCAAATAGATGCCGAGTAAGAATCACATTTTGAATAATTTTTCAACAATCAATGACAAGTCAAATCTTCCTACCGAACGAATAGGATTATATTTAGACAACCCTCTAAATATTGTAGGTGAGACGGCAAAGTAGATGTACGGGTCCTCATCAAATGGTATAAGAAAGCCGTAATTGATTATAAGAATAAACAAACTATATATTCACTTTCCTATTTTCTAAACAAGACTAGGTACAGATGTGCAACATCACAAGTCATATGCGAAGTAACCTCAGCAGAGGTGCCAGCTGTATTTGCAGTTTATTTGGCAAATAAGAAGATATCTGAAACCCCTATTTCAATCTACCAAGTGAACCAGATCCATGATACCATGAAATCAGAAGCATGGGGAATAAGAAGATACCCATGCTTACTCACCCTGTGTTAAGCTGAGATAGAGAGAAAAGGTTGAGTTCTTTTTGTCCCTCCGGATAAAACAGTGAAGCGGTGCATCCCTTGGTCCAGGTTGTGCAAAAGAAATAATATACGCGTCCATTAAATCAATATTTAGTAAACGGAAACGAAGAAGCAAGCTTTTATAGGTATTATCATATCGCTATTGGCATACCAAACAAAATCCAGTGCAAATCAAGAATCTGCGAATTATCACACATACCAGCGCATATACTTGGCAAAATTTGTTTTAGATTTAGAAGAATATACAAATGGGAAAAGCACATGAAGAATACCATTTTAAATCCTGCGCATATACTTGGCAAAATTTGTTGCCCACTCCCAATTATTCTTGTCCACTCCAAATTAAATGAAAAAAAATCATGCTTATGTTGTTATTATACATGAGATTTCCAACATCGAAGAGTTTTTCTCGACTTGGCAAGAAGGAGAAGCCATACCTCAAATATCTCTAGAATGCTAAGATCGAGCTTGCAGGTCCGAAGCGGGTGGGCGGCGAGCTAAAGTAGGTCCGATGTCAGTGGACAGTGAGCTCAAGAAGAACCACTATAACACCACTGCACATTTGTCATACAAATAGGTTCAATCGTAACAAAGTCCGAACATTCATCAATGATAAAGTCCATAATCAGACATTATGTATATATGATGTAGCAAAGATGTTATTATATAAAGAGAGATATGTGAAAAGTATCTAAACAGTGCTACTAGAACACATATTTAACTAATATCAAGCTGAGGTCAGTCGTAAACGAAAAACTTCAATCAAATAGCTAGAAATTGAGTATATATTGAACATGCACATGTATTCTATCTGCAAGCTTTACTCCCTGCACTGAAGGGCAAATTAGGAGCAGAGTGTAGATTAAAAGCCATGTCATGGCAACGTTCTAGGCATCAAATCCTGGCTGTCTTTAAAAAAAAATACTCCTGATCTATTACTTGTATTTGCTATCAATCGACCTCTCTATGTCCCTGCTAATATTTATGACATATAAATTTTCTAAATTCAGTTTTCCTATTACAAAAAAAAATCACTAGTAAAATATTTGTACTATTTCCTGCTTATAAACTGTAGAGACAGATCCAACAATGATTAGCACAAAACTATATATAAAGTATTAGTCTCATACTTACCAAGAAGGGTGTCTCTTGCTTCCAAAGTTACTAGCTAGAGTACCAGACGTGTTATCCCTGGTAGGTGCACATGATTCTCCTATAAAGAACAAGGATTATTTGCTTCAATGTCAATCGTACAGGCATGCCATGTGTGAGAAGTGGCATAGGTGCACATGATTTCATAAATCCAGATTGTTTACATTTTCTAAGCCCCATTTCTTCAACAAAATCCCAAAATCCGAAACCTAAATCATAATTCCCCAAATCCCGTACCAAATCCCCAACCCTAAGATTAAGAAATGGGCCTAGTGCTCACCTAAGACGGCATCGATGGGCTCGTCCGAGAGCTCGCCGCCGGCGCATCAGGAACCGCCACCGCCGCCGTGAGGCTCCTCGCATGCGTGCGCACGTCCAGCAAAGGGCGCCATGGCAGTGCCGCTCGACGGTGCCGCGTGCAGCTTCGGCTACGCGCGTGCGCCGGCAAGGGGTGCCGCGGTGGCGTCACCATCTCCTACCGTCGCTTGCTCGGGCCGTCGTGGCGAGGCGAGCTTTGGGGTGGCGAGGCGAGCGAGCGGAAGGGTTTGGGGGCAGGGCGGGGCGACGGGCAGGAGATTTGCGAGCATATGTAGATTGGGGGCCGGGATTTGGGAGCGAGCTAGAGGGCGACGGCGGGCAGGAGATTTGGTGCGGGCGGGCGGGCGGGATTTGTGGGCGACGGCGCCCAGGCAGGTGGAAGACGATTTGGGATTTGGAAGAACGGTCTAGGGTTTGTGTACTCATGGGCCAGGCCAAATTTTGCGCGCGAGGGCCGAATGTAAGTGGGCGCGTGAGCAAGGTGGGGCCCTTTTTTAGCGACAGATGGATTGATGCTATACCTGTTTTCAGCGACAGATAGTTCGACGTTAAAGATGATTACCTATAGCGACAGACAGTTAATCTCTAAATGGAGAATTAGCGTCAGATTGTCTGTGAGTTATCTTTAACATCAGATCATCCATCAATAAAAAAAAGTTTTAGCGTCAGATGTCTGACGGTGATATGGTGTTGTGGTGTAGTGATGGGACCGACGGGACGGGACTGGACCCAACGCAAGCTCGTGGTCCGCGCCGAATTTTTTCTAAATAATATTTTTTTAATGATTAAATACAAAATTAGAAGCTGTTATAAAAAAATGGCAATACAATCCTGTCGGCATCTCACCAGCCGATAGGCGTACATGCCAGCTGCACCGAACAAACCAGCTGGTCGGCAAGGTCCAGTCGGCCGGTAGGAAGCCAACAGGTTCGCTCAGCAAAAAAGCGTTATGCTACTGCTGCTGCCCGTTGGATGTGGATCCTTCGGGTGTCGGCTGCTTACGTACACATATCGGCCTATGGGCTGCCGACAGGCTGCTACATGTGAAGTTTTTTTATAAAAGCTTCTAAATTTGCAATTAGTCATTAAAAAATATTATTTAAAGAGAAATACGTCCTCCGTCCCGTGTTGTGGTGGCGTGGTGGGCAGGGCAGGTCGTGGCGTCTGGCGTGGGTACCGCTGGCTTTGCTTGCTTCTGCATTGCCCGTCTCGTTCCCTTTCCCCTCCCCCTCTCTCCCCCATTGTGAGCTTCAGAGCTTCACCAGCTAGCTGAGAGCCGAGCATGGGCCTCAGGGAGCGTCGCCGTCGTCTTCTTGGTGCGTACATGGTGGCGGCGGTGAGGCGTCCAAGCCGTGCCCAGCTCGGTGCGCTCGTCGACGGAGAACGGCAAACACATAGCCACCTTGCTGCCGTAAGTGTGTGCTTGCTTCTTGCTTCCATATATATGTGTTCTACTGTTGTTGAAGGGAAGGCAAGCTGTTTACATCGTGGGGGTCTTTTTTTTGTCTGTTTCTTTTTCAGACTGCTACAAGTGATGAAGAAACAAGAACATTGGAGACTCTGAGGACGGGTCGCCCCACAAATGCTCACCTTGCTGCCGTAAGTGCGCTTGCTTCTTGCTTCCATATATGTGTCCTACTGTTGTTGAAGGGAAGACAAGCTGTTTTAATCATGGGGTCTTTTATTGTTTGCTTCTTTTTCAGATGGTTGCAAGTGAAGAAAAAAGAGGATTGGAGACTCTGATGATGGGTCGCCCCACAAATCCTCTGCATACCTCGCCAACAGTAGCGGGGAAATTCACGATGGAGGCCCCGTGCAAGCTCGGCAACATGTTAGATGCGAGCCCGATTCACAATTCCCGTGGGATGCACGACCCAGTGGAGGTCGAGGGACTCCTCTGCTCCGATGCCCCTTCTGAGATCCGTCCTCGTGCTCAGCTCACTGGTGCGGCACTCATCGATGGAGAACGGCGAACCCATCGCCGCGCTGTCGTAAGTGCCTGCTCACTTAGTGCTTACTCCTTTCTATGAGATCTGTAGGCATTAAAGCTTACTTAATTATCTGGTCTGCCAGTGATGTTGACTATAAGCTGACCCTTAATTAGGTCCCTGTCCCACATGAGCATGGTGCACAGGTAGGCCCACCACGTCCACGGCCTTGCGTAAGCCCGCACGAGCAAGAGGCCACACCAGCGACTCAACAAATTAAGCAAGAAATACACTATAGAAATATATTCCAAGGAAAAATATAACGAAGCTAATTTTGGATAGATGTGTTATGGCGCTGGTCCACTTTTTTCTATTAATAAGCTATTTTATTAAAGTACATTATAAAACTGATGTATATGTAAGACAAAGCTAGAACTATGCACGTAATAATCGTAAAACGGGTGTAGAGATTTTCCTATTAGCAAAAAGAGAGAAAAATCCTAGAGATTAATTGTTTCTCTCACTAGCAGTAGGCAGGCAGTAGCAGATGATGGTGCACTCACACGTGGTCGTGGTTGGGGTTGGGAATTGGGATGGGAGCTGACCAATTGTGTGAACCGATCTGTCCGGTCCCGTCCCGGTCCGGGGCCTTTATTTGGGTCTGTTGGCAACTGGGAAGCAGTACGTACTCCATACTTGTTGCGGTCGGTGGGTGATCCATGAATGTTCACTCTCGGTAATACTATCTTAATCAGTTAGGCGCTTTGGCACGCGCAGATCCCTGCAATTTCGCAGGTTCTATGGAAAGGAATCAAAGAATCAACGGAGCTCGAGAGATCTGCGGAGTCGAGAGGCCGGATTTCACTCCATTTGGTGAATCTACCAAATATAGGGTGGCTAGTAGATATACTAGCCGATGCTTATCGGCTACTACTAGAGCAAGCAGGTCTAGCCATGGTTAGCAACCGAACTACCCTCTGCGTCATGGAAGCATACCGGATCTACCGGGCACGGTTCAAGCAATCGACGATTTACCTCGGGAGCAAAGCAGCAGATCTACGTGGGCGACAAGACTTGGGTGTCGAGGCGGTGGGCGGTGGGCGGTGACCAGCCTTGAGAGAGCAGCTTGGCTCGGCTCAGATCCGGGACCCTCCGTCTCTTCCCGCCCCGCCCTCGGTCTCTCTCTCCGACGGCGGAAGGGTTGACCTCGCCTCGGCCGGGCTGTGGAAGCGGAGGTGGAGGAAGCGGTCCACGGCGAGGACGGGAGGAGGCGGGGCAGGGAGGAGGCTAGCGACTCGGGCAAAGAGGGGAGGAGCCGAGAAAGGAAATGGTACGAGTGGGGAGGAGGAGGTGGAGAAAGGCGGCGCGCCGCCCGCGCCCGCCTGCCCAGCGCCGCCGCCTCCCCCCTGCCCACGTCGAGGGGAGAGAGGGAGCGAAGAGAGAGAGACCGAGAGAGAGAGAGAGAGGGGAGAGAATTTTTCCGCCGCTATATATACTGATGGGAATTTGTAGGGGCGGTTGGTGATTCATTAGCCTACAAATGGACACAAGAGGCGGCTGGTAATATGACCCGTCCATATAAATCGACGATTTGTAGGGCGTTTCATATTACCAAGCCGCCCCCTCATGCTTATTTGTAGGGCGGTCTTTGTCCGGAGCCCGAGCAGTCACTTTAAGGGCGGCTCCAATGCCAGCCACCCCTAAAGAAAAAAAGCCTCGTTGCTACAGACTATTTTTCACATAGTGGCTGACGCCTACGCGCGAGGATCTGAGCCGCTGGAGGCCACGTTGTCGCCTCCGTGCACGCGGATCTAAGCCGCTGGAGGCCCGCATCATCGCTACGGGCCCACGCCGCCTCTAGAGGGCATGCCGCCGCCTCTGCGTGGCTGCGGTACCGCTCGTGGAGGTGCGCCGGCCGGCTGCTGGACGCCCATGCCGCTGCTGGAGGCTGCGCCACTGCTGCAGAACCATGCCGCCGCTAGACGCTGCGCTGTCGCCTCCATGTGCAAGGATCTGAGCCGCTGGAGGCCACGTTGTCGCCTCCGTGCACGCGGATCTGAGTCGCTGGAGGCCCGTGTCACCGCTACGGGCCCGCGCCGCCGCTGGAGGGCATGCTGCCGCTCGCGGAGGTACGCCGGTTGGCCCACTGCTCTGGAGAGAGGGAGAAGAGAGGGCGCTGCCCCGCTAGGCACGAGCATGGGTGTCGCTGCTAGTGGGGTGCCGCCGCCGGCACGAGCATGGGCACTAGAGCCCCGTCCTTGGCCTCGACCTGCTGTGAGAGTATAGAGGGATGAGAGAGAGGAGCGCTCGAGAGACAGGCAGATGTGAGATGGAGAAGTGAGGGAGACCCGTGGAAACACTAATCCTGTTATATATATCAACCCGGTAAGAGGTATGGATATGGGCTTTGCTGGATCTTGAGGATATTTACACCGTAAATTAATTTTAGGAGACAGGCAAAATCGGACCACGTCCGTAGATGAAACGTCTGCCTCCGTAAATCCAGTTTGCGAGATTGTGACTGCCTCCGTAAATCCACAGATATTTTAGGGGACGATGGCTGCATTTTATGACCGCCTCCGCTAATATTTGGGCAGTGTCTCGCAAAATTATTTTTGTAGTAGTGTATACAATAGAAGATTCAAAAATGCATAGTTAAAAGAATAGCGTCAGCTATATAGTCATATGTACCGCGTAGCTCAATTGATATATGCGCTCATATGAACATGAATATTGAGATCTCGAGTTTGAATCCCGACAATAATCACATTTTTTCTATTTTTTTATCACCTTTCATTGCCGGGTTCCTGTTTGAATCCTAAAATTACATATTTTCTATCTTTTATCACCTATCTCTGATGGGTTAGAGAAACCGGTAGTGATAGGCACGATAGCCTAGGATAATGTCACGATGCCACGGAAAAATTCACCCGAAAACGGACAGTTTTCACACTCAAGATGCCATTCACACTGGTGTTGCATTCAGACTAAAAATTTAAAGTATAATGTTACTCTCACATTGGTGTCGTCGTCACGCTAAAAAATGAAGTTTAATTCACACGGACAATAAAATGAAGTACCGGTGTTATTTTCACACCGGAAGCGGGAGGGTGCGTGCAGCGCAGGAGATCCCCAGATCGCATGAAAATGAAACGAATCAAGCTCAGTGCAAGTTTCATCGAGTTTCATTTGTGTTGGTAAATATGATGGAGTTCCATCTAGATAAAACTCTAGTTCTCTAATTCTTTACAAATACCTTGCCAACTCAGCGATTTTGCTAATGAGGCATAGCTTTAAATGAGATTGAAACTCCGATGAAATCCTCAAGAGTGGCCTCAGAGCGATCTGAGTAAGTTACATACGTCAGTGTCGTAACCGATGCTGCCGAATTATCTGCAAAGCTCCTTTGGTCCATCATGGCGCAGAGAAAGTCTAGGTCATTAAAGTGGCATAACCAACACAGACACCAGTCATCATCATCCATATGAAATCAGTGGCCATTCAGTCCATCTTCCAAAATCAGTGACCTTCACGTCAGCCACTATTGACCGGTGAGTCTTCGTGACGATGTTGAATGGCTTCCATTGCTGCAATAGCAAAGGGTGCCAGGCTTGTATCCTGCACACCTTCCGTCCCAAAAAATAATGTAATTTTAGGTTGGAAATAAATAAATAAATTTAGGTTTGATCAAATTTATAGAAAATATAGAAAATAGTATCAGCATCTCTACATCCCTAAATAAATTTACTATAAAATATATTCTATAATTAATCTAATGATGCTTATTCGATATCACAGATGTTACTACCTTTTTTATCTATTTGGGTAAATTTAAAATTATTTGACCTCTGAAAACGAGAATTACACTGTCCCTAGGATGTTGTTGTTGTTGTTGTAGGAAGGAGCGAGTACAAAACTACACATGCACCAAATATACGATTTTCATGCTTGATGGCCACCCAGTTTTAAATGAACCGATTTTTTTGGATAACTGAAATTTAAGATGAAATAAAGAACCGAATAGTTCGGTTTGCTCAACTGAATGGCCTGGAACTTGGTGTCTAGTGTGAGGGAAAAATGCGAGAAATCATTCCGGGATAGTAGGTCCTTTGGTCATAGTGCATGAGTCCTGTTCCCGAGCTTGTGTAGTTGACCGAGACTTTTTTGGCCTGTTTGATATCTCTCATTTTCTTTGTTTCGAATCCTCCTCTATTAATATTTATGGCTAAAAAGAAAACTGGATGCTTATTTCTAAAAAGAAAAAGTGCATGATATTCTTACTACACATCATCACTTGCTCTTGTAGACATGTAGTCTTGTTGATAGGTCAAATGCATGATACTATACATCATCACTTGCAAATACAAAGTTTGGGCAAATGATCCTCTCCATCGAGACTTCAAGCTTTGAGATCTCTGGTGTTGGAGGAGCTCTCTCATTCACTTGTTTGCTGTGGCATTTTACTCCTCAACAAACATTGTTTTGAAAAAAAAACATGACTAGTACATGAGAAAGCAGTGATATAGTGCCTATAAGCACTACTTTGGTCAAATAAAATATTTGACATACTTTTAGGAATGTGTTAAATAAGCTGTCCAAATTGTCAGCAAGCTCCTTTACTTTGTGTACATCAGGCGCATAGAAAATCTGGGCCACTCTAGTTTGGTTAAATAATTCACTTATCATATTTTCAGGAAACGTGTAGACTGAGCTGTCCAAATTGCCTGCGAGCTCCTTTTTTTTTTACCATCAGGGCGCATAGAAAAGCTCCTTTATTGACTCTTTGTGGCAAGATGTTGAATGGTCCTATACTCTTATTGCTGAAGAAGCAGAGGGTGACAGGCACAAGATAAACCATCCATTATGCTGTGAAGTCAGATTCATACAGTGCAATAGGCATGGCGCTCTATATAACCTCATCATATACGGTTAGCCCAAGGCAGCAGGATGATCTACACATGCATCCATCCATATATGCATAGAAACAATGTCTCACATAGCCATCCACAGCAATTCCATCCTGCCGCTGCTTGCTTTCATCTCCATCCACTTCCTTGCCCAGTGTCAATAAACATCACCCGCAGCACTGAATGAATCCAGTGCTCTCCTCTGTCTCAAGTCTCAGCTCCGCGACCCATCAGGTGCATTGGCCTCATGGAGGGACGACTCCCCTGTGTTCTGCAAGTGGCATGGGGTGACATGCCGCAGCAGACAGCAGGCATCTCAAGTCACTGCACTGGATCTCGAATCCGAGAACATCGCTGGCAATATATTCCCTTGCGTTGCCAACCTCAGCTTCCTTGAAAGGATCCACATGCCCAACAACCAGCTCGATGGCCAGACTTCTCCTGACATCAGCCGGCTAACCCAGCTTCAGTACCTCAACCTCAGCATGAACTCCCTTCGCGGTGAGATACCAGAGGCAATATCCGCATGTTCACGTCTTGAGACAATCGACCTTGATAGCAATTCCCTCCAAGGTGAGATCCCTCCAAGCCTTGCTCGGTGCTCATCCCTTCAGACTGTTATTCTTGGCTACAACGATCTTCAGGGAAGCATCCCTCCACAGCTTGGCCTGCTTCCCAGTCTCTACACGCTGTTTCTCCCCAGCAATAATCTCACAGGAAGCATTCCTGAATTTCTTGGGCAGAGCAAAAACCTGACATGGGTGAATCTTCAGAATAACAGCCTTACTGGTGGGATACCCCGTGCTCTGTTCAACTGCACGTCTCTTTATTACATAGATCTCTCACACAATGCTCTTTCCGGGTCTGTCCCGCCTTTCTTGCAGGCATCTTCCTTTGCACTGTATTACCTTAGCTTATACCAAAATAATCTCTCTGGAGAGATTCCTAGCTCACTTAGTAATCTTTCCTCCCTAGCTTTCTTACTGCTTTCCTATAACAGTTTACAAGGGATGATTCCAGAGAGCTTAGGTAAGCTTAAAACCCTGCAAGCACTAGACCTCAGCTATAACAACTTGTCAGGCACCATTGCACCTGCACTTTATAACATCTCCTCCCTTACTTTTCTTGGACTTGGGGCCAACCAACTTGTCGGTACGCTTCCCGCCAGTATCGGCAACACCCTTACAAGCATCACACAGTTGATATTGGAAGGGAGCAGGTTTGAAGGTCCAATTCCAGCTTCACTGGCCAATGCCACAAAATTGCAATATCTAGATCTCCGTAGCAACGCATTCACAGGTGTTATTCCTTCACTGGGATCCCTGACCTTGTTGAGTTACCTAGATCTAGGTGCAAATAGGCTTGAAGCTGGAGATTGGTCCTTCATGTCCTCTCTAGTCAACTGCACACAGTTAAAGAATTTATGGTTAGATAGAAACAACCTCCAAGGTATAATATCTACTTATATCACCAATATCCCAAAAAGCTTAGAGATCATGGTTCTAAAAGAAAACCAATTCGCAGGTTCTATACCATCAGAGATAGGAAAGTTCACGAACCTCACAGTAATTCAGTTAGATAATAATTTTCTTTCAGGAAAATTCCAGACACGCTTGGGAACCTCCAAAACCTGTCCATTCTGACCATATCCAAAAACCAACTTTCTGGAGAAATCCCAAGATCAATTGGGAAGTTAGAGCAGCTTACTGAACTCCTTTTCGAGGAAAATAATTTGACCGGGCTCATACCTTCTAGTTTAGAGGGCTGCAAACAACTGACAACACTCAATCTTTCTTCCAATAGCTTGTACGGAGGCATTCCACGGGAACTGTTTTCGATATCTACACTTTCTGTTGGCTTCGACTTGTCCAATAACAAACTCACTGGAGACATACCACTTGAGATTGGTGGATTGATCAATCTGAATTCACTTAGTCTTTCCAACAATCGATTATCAGGTGAGATCCCCTCCACACTTGGTCAGTGCCTTCTTTTGGAGTCACTCCATTTAGAAGCAAATAATCTGCAAGGAAGCATCCCAGATTCTTTCATCAACTTAAAAGGCATCACTTTGATGGATCTTTCACAGAATAACTTGTCTGGTAGAATTCCTGAACTTTTGGAGTCACTTAGCTCTTTACAGATTCTAAATCTATCCTTCAATGACCTTGAGGGCCCTGTCCCTGGAGGCGGCATCTTTGCTAAACCAAATGAAGTGTACATCCAAGGAAACAATAAGTTGTGTGCAACGTCTCCTGATCTACATGTACCACTGTGCTTGACATCAAGACCCCAAAGAAAGAAGCATGCCTACATTTTAGCTGTTCTGGTTTCACTTGCTAGTGTAGCTGCAGTCACAATGCCATGTGTTGCTGTCATTATTTTGAAGAAGAGAAGGAAAGGAAAGCAGCTAACCAACCAATCATTAAAGAAGCTAAAGAATTTCTCGTATGGTGATTTATTCAAAGCAGCAGATGGTTTCTCTCCTAACAGTCTTGTTGGATCCGGAAGATTTGGATTGGTGTACAAAGGTCAATTCAAGGTTGAAGAATGTGCAGTTGCCATAAAGGTATTCAGGCTCGACCAATTTGGAGCACCAAGCAACTTCCTTTCTGAATGTGAGGCATTGAGAAACATTCGCCATCGGAATCTTATAAGAGTGATTAGTGTATGTTCAACGTTTGATCCAACTGGAAATGAATTCAAAGCACTCATTCTTGAGTACATGGTAAATGGTAACCTAGAAAGCTGGCTCCATCAGAAAGAGTACACAAAAAACACAAAAAGACCATTGAGTTTAGGCACACGAATAGCAATAGCTGTGGATATTGCTGCTGCATTGGACTATCTTCATAATCGATGCACTCCTCCTTTGGTACACCGTGATCTGAAACCAAGCAATGTCCTTTTGAATGATGAAATGGTTGCATCTCTCAGTGATTTCGGTCTTGCAAAGTTTCTTTCTGTTGACTTCTCAACAGGATTCAATAATTCATTGATTGCTTTAGGACCAAGAGGATCTATCGGTTACATTGCACCAGGTGAGCACATGTTTCACTCTTGTTTTTTTTAATCAGAATGAATTGTACTTATGTATACATGATATTTGTCCTGTAAATGATGCTTTGGCATCTTATCTATAATTTTTCCAATTTTCTGAAATAGCTAAGTGGAGGACTTTCTTATTAAGTTTTGCACAACATTGCAGAGTATGGCGTGGGGTGCAAAATCTCAGTTGAGGGTGACATCTACAGCTATGGAATTATTCTGCTGGAGATTATTACAGGAAGGCGACCAACTGATGACATGTTTAAGGATGGTGTAAACATCCGCAACTTTGTGGAGTCATCACTTCCACTGAATATCCATAACATTTTAGAAGGTGAGGACGGAGGACAGGAAATGGTTGAAATGCAGCACTGTGCCATGCAACTCGCAAATCTTGGTCTAAAATGTTCTGAGATGTCACCCAAGGATCGGCCAAGAACAGAGGAGGTTTATGCTGAAATGTTGGCCATCAAAGAAGAATTTTCAACATTGTGCTCATTGGGAAGTGTATCTATGTTACTGTAACTCACATAGTACCTCTGTAGCAGTTGCACTTCGCGTATGGAAAAAGATTTGTTCAAGGCAGTTGATCAAATAAATATGTAGCCAGGGACAAATATGTATTAGTACTTTTCCTAGTATAAGAAACTGGTGCAGTACTTGGAATCCGTACTAAGTGTCAACCCTGGCTACAGTACTAAGTGTGGTACTGGGAAACAATACCAAGTGTCAATAACAGTACACATGACCGCTTCTACCACCGCATGTTTACTTCAGAATCACCACATGTTTTTATGTGACCCCTAACTCCCTAAGCATCATAGCCCCATTGTGTGTTGACCTAAAAAATTGGAGCCCTTTTAGAACAACTTCAACTCCCTGTGAAACATTAATGACTGACACAATCAAACTAGTGATGTTATACTAGCCCACAGTGTTAAAATACAACACACTTCACCCCGATATAATGTATATCCAAAGTCTTAGTTAGAGACTGCAAAGCATGATGCCCTTTTATTTTGTTTCGAGCAGTAACTCCAAAGTGTGATGATGAAATAAACTGAATACTCTAGGCATCTATATAACCTGCGTTTCAATCATGTGTTCCTGGCCTCCCACTTTACATTTCGTAGCACATATTACCTACGTTTCAGTACGCAAAAAAAGCAAGATGACCAACCTTCTCTGAAATTTAGAAATCTGAAGAACAGAACAAAATTTCACACAACTGAACAACACCATGCCATTTTCACTAAACCACAGCCTCTGAACTACAATGTCAATTCCAATAAATAACAAAATCATTCATATAAATGCTTTACTATATCCTAGCATTGAAACTGGATTTTGGGAGACGCTTAATGAAAATTAGTATGTGCTTGGGGGCCATCAAAAAATTACTATGCTCCAATGTTTATCTTTGTAGACTGTTTTCTTTTCCTTGGTTATAGCCTACTATCTATCTGACTTTACTTTCAATTTGTTTCACTGTGGGTGTAGGGTATAGGCTCCTTTTTCTTTGAATAAAAATGACAAAGTAGTAGACAATCTCAATCTGTATAATGGTTACTAGTGCTTGGACGTCTAGTTGTAACGACTGATAACACACAGCAGTAAACTGTTTTACTGGGAATAGGCATGTAAATAGCGTTGTGTAAACCTGAAACGATGTGATCACGTACACTCTCCTCACTCCACAGTCGACAGGTCTCTGCCTGGCTGCTCCCCTCATACTGAAACTCTGAAAGGTAGCAGCAGACCATGTATAGTGTAGGTATGTGTAGGCATGGACAAGGCAACACCTTTCTCTGTTTCTCAACCAATATTACACCAAAGAGGATTAACAATAAACATCATCAGCAAATCAAAACATTAAAAAAAAAGAAGAAATCGCAGGCCATTGACAAGACTAAAGTGCTGACTCCTTGCGTGCCGCTTAGAAGCCAGCAGCCACACCACACAGGCACACACCAGTTCATGGAGTTCTCAACATGAGTACATTCTCCCTAAAAAGCTAGTTTAATTGATTTTCCCTGTCCATTAAGCTGCATTCTCTTCCCCATGTAGTTTCAGAAACCAACACTATGATCCTAGCTAGTTCTCACATAGCAAAGCAAATTCAACACGGCAAGCTAGCTAATCGTCAGTTCAATTATCAAAAGCAAAGGAAAACCTCTAGGCCACTGACCTCGGGGCCGGCGGCGTGTCGGAGGCACAGAGCAGGGGAGCCGGGGGATTCCTCAGGGCCACGGGCGCCTTCCTCTGTGGCGCTCCTCGCGGGCGTGGGATCGGGTTCCGCTACAAGGAAATCGGCCGGAACTCGGCCTTCTTCGCCGGCGCGGCTCTTCGGAGGCGGCGCGAAGCAGCAGAACAGAGCAGAGGGGGGCACGGGAAAGCTTACGGCTGAGGGTTTGGTGTGGGCTTTTGGCTTATATGGGCCAAGTTTTTTTTTTTTTTTTTTTTGAAAGGGATGGGCCAAGTTAAATAAACAGGTTTTATACATACATGGAACACATCACGTTATAGCCACAGAATTTTGCTGGCACTCCACTCAAAAAAAAAAATTGTTGGAAGTGACAAGTGACAAAAATAAAAAAATGTGTTTCTAAGATTCAAAATCAAGACCTCAACATTCTATTGAAATATAGATATCAGTTGAGCTACACAACACTTATGATTATATATCTGTTATTATTCTTTTAACTACACATTTACAAATCTTATATTATATATTTGACACTGAACGATCTTATATAAATGAAAAAGTTTTTAACAGCGACAACTTTGACGTCTTCATTCGACATTGTTAATCATCTCAAATATGATCCGATAAATTATATTGAATATTTAGACATGTAAATCGTCTCAAATTAAAAAAAATTATCACCTATAAAGTTTTAGATCTATGAACTATACAATTTTAGTATAAGTTTAACTTCGTTCGACCTCATAGGAAAAAGTTATGACTTTTTTTTCTGTACAGTCACGAAAACAACCGGCATTAATTACATGTTCTGTGGTAGTGACTACAGCACTCAAATAAACCATATATCGAGAGAATAACACACACAAGAAAGCAATTTCCAAAAGCATTCACCTCCAAGAAAAACAAAAGAGAAAAAACCCATCATTTTGACACACGCTGAAATTGAACACCAATCTGCTTATCTCAGCCATCACATTCATCTCAACGTAAGACACGTTGGTAGGTTCATAAGTTGGACAAGCTATCTGACTGATGGTGCTGATGGACATCATCCTTTCTTCTTCCTGCCCAGCAGGCCCAGGCCTCGGTGGTGGTAATCCTGTATGGCTGTATCTGCCCGGCCACCACCTCAGAACGTGAAACCGCTGGCAACGGCCTGATGGCGGAGCTGGCTGGAGCAGTCCGCCGCCACGACCCCGACCGAGGCGCAGTCGTCGTCGTCGTCGACCTCGACCTCTGCCAGGATATGCCGGTTGCGGCACTCCTCGCTGCAGAACGCCCTTTCGCCTCTGCAAGCACGAGACCAAAGTACCAAACGCCGTTGTCAGTCGTCACAAGAGAAATCTCCAGCCAGGAGATATAGTTACGTTAACATATGTATGGCATGCGCGCCTTGTACCGTTGTACGGACCTGTAGATGTATATGTCCGTGCCGTCGGCGAGCTCCCTGTGGCAGAAGAAGCACCGCTGCAGGAACGAGCAGCTCGCCGACGTCGTCGTCGGCAATGCACGGGAAGAGGAAGAGCGGCTAAAGGAAGCAGAGGACGACGTGCCGTCATTGAGGTCGCTCTTGGTCGTGGCTTCGCCGTTGGCTTTGCTTGTGAGTTGAGCCGGCGCTCTTGCTGCCGCTGCTGCTGGGCGCAGCAGGTGTTTCTTCTGCTGCTGCGGCGCCGCCGCCGCCGCCGTATCCAAGAGCAGGCCGAAACCGGCATTGGCAGCCATATGTGTTGAGCTTGATGTTGCGTGTGTTGATATGTGTAGGTATTTAATTGATTTCACTCATGGAGTTTGGTACGTGCTTGCTTATAAAGAAGACCGGGTGTACTCTATAAGCTCCTAAGGGCGTCCCAACAAGGGACTGGAGCTAGCTAGGAAGTCTACGTGGAGCAGAGAGAGCAGGAAAAGAACTCCTCGCTTGCTAGTACCCTGTCGCTATGCTCGCACGGTTTCCAGGGAGCTGCACCTCTCTGACTTCTTGACCCACTTCCACGGCTCACATTTTTTGTCCTTTCTTTACTTTTATACCCGGCCATGTCAGCTAGCGATTTATGCATGTTGTTGAGCAGTGGCGGATTTCACAGCTGAGTATTCTGCGTACATAAAAATTTTCGATCTAAATGTGCAATAGTAATAAGTAAAGTACAAGATCTAAACATAGTGGCATAGGTTCAAATTTCTAAACCTTTCGTCTCTAAGCACATGAGAAATGTACATAGTGAGCCGATATGAGTTTCGATAATTCATCTAACACTGTTGTGCTAGTGTGCTCACCTTCCTTCAACAACCTTCAAGGCTCAAGGACTCAAGCAGCAAGCCGGAGCCGAACCGCGGGCCGTCGCTGGCTGCCGGAGCGCTGGGCTCGCGCCGCCGCCCGCCGAGCTGGGACGCTTAGGGCTGGGCGCAGCCGCGCCACGTCCCGCGAGAGTCGCGCCGGCCTCTCGCCTCAGCGCCGCAGGGCCAAGGGAAGGGACGATGGCCGAGGGGTAGGGGGCTTGCGGCGTGCCGCCGTGCGCCCGTGCTCACGAGGCTCGCCGTCGTCGATGCCCGATGGGATCCCTTCCTTCCACCACTGCTCTCTGGCTATCTACGCCGTTCCTCGCTGCCTCTAGACGAGATTGGTGCGATGCGAGCGGCAGCCAGGAAATGGCTCGCTCTTTTTTTTACTTTGGTGGGCTGATAATCGGTGCTTTCTGTTGGGCTTTGGGCCAGATTTGCAACATCTAGCAACTATACAAGTTATACCATTATACGTATACATATATGTATTTGTGTTTGTTTCAAAAATCTTGGGTATTCCATGGCATACAGGGGAATACCCCTGGCACCGCCCCTGTTGTTGAGGACGCCTTAAGATGCCTACAGTACATTTTGCATGCGGGAGTATAAGGTTCTGTTTAGTACAACTTTAGCTAGCTAAATCCGTTTGGTAAACTAAAACAGCTAGCCCTAGTGGTTAAGGGCGTGTTTGGATCGTTACCACACTCTGTCACAAGTCTACTCGCCTCATCTCGCCTAACTTTTGGTTCACTACTGCATGTGCAGCATAATGCCGCACACCCTGCTTAGCGCGCCAACCATTCATTTTGCATGTCGTAACTTGCCAAAAGTGTGGCGCCGTTTTTTATGCGCCAGACTTGCGGCCTGGTCGGAGCTCTGGCGTGGCAAGCTGTGGTAGTAAGCCAAACAAGCCCTAAAAACAATAAAATGACAATAATACCTTTTCCCCTTGCCCATCCGATCTAAGGTTGCTGGCCTCTAGCCAAGCTAAAGGAATGGCCGATCTAAAAGGCTCGCTCATCTCTTTGGCCGACCGTTACTCTTCCCCTCTCATCCTAGCCTTGCCCAGCCCACCTCACGTCGGCGAATCCACCCCTTGTGCCCAGCAATTCCACTCAGCTTCAGATCTACTCCCACGCTTCGCCCGCATCCCACCACACGATGCCCCGACGAATCCCAGCGCTGCACCTTTCCCACACGGCCTGGCAACTCCGCTCCGGTCCATCTGCGCTCACGATTTAGGTCCGCCTCCGCTACTCCGCCCCGACGACTCCTGGCGCCTCGCCTCGTCGCACGAAGGATGAGCAGTTCTTGGAGGGCCCATGCTCGAGGTGTCAGAAATGATAGACAATATAAACGACGAAGAACAGTATATCAAACACAGGGGACATGAGATTTTAACGTGGAAAACCCTCTCAAGGAGGAAGGGAAAAAACTACGGGCACCAGCCAGTAAATCTTCACTATATCGGGTGAGGTTATAAACGTCGGGGATTTACAACTTTTCTTATCCCAAGACGACGGCTTACAGAAAGTATATATAAAGATGGAAAAACCCTACGACGATCCGTACCACGGCCCAAGCCTCCCGGCGACGGGCCTCATTTCACTCCGGCAGAAGTTAAACTTTATCTTGTACATAACTAAATTTGGATCGCAGTTTCAAAGGAGGATGCCACTTCTTTCAGGTCCACGATATGCCAGACGCTTTTGAGGCTGTATTTTTCGAAGATTCACGCCATGGGTAGCGCCTTTTTCACCCATGCAAAACAACTCTCGGAGCGGTTGGAGAATATGTACCAAACGCGCCCTAATAATAGTAAGGCCTTCGCCGTAGTGTGCGTGGCCCAGCACCCCAACGCCAACGGCAGGTCGTCCATCCATGGGCAGCTGTCTGTCTCTGTCGAGACCTACTTTTGCCCTCCAGCCCGCCACGCGTGTACTCGCACACTTACCTTTTGAGTCTCATCTCTAATTCAATCGAACGCTAGCTGTTGAGATCCCATTGGACGCGACCTCATCCATCAGACCATCACAACTCAACAAACTCCAACGACGACCGGCCTCGTTTCGTTTCGGTAGAAGTTAGCTTTTATTTTATACATAACTGAATTTGGATCATAACTTAATAAACTCCACTTTGAGATAAATTTTTTCTTGTAGCATAAAACGAACATTCACCCTGAAACAACAAAGAAATACTTCTGATGCCAAATAACCTCTTGGGCTAAACAGTTATACCAACTAAACTTAGCAACAGAAACGGGCTTTGTCACCATATCAGCAGGATTATCATGTGTGCTTATCTTGCATACCTTCAGCTTACCTTGCGCGACAACATCACGAACATAATGGTATTTGACGTCAATGTGCTTCGTTCTCTCATGGAACATCTGATCTTTAGTGAGACATATAGCACTTTGACTGTCACAAAATAAATTAATGTAAGAATCATCTTCACAAAGCTCAGCAAATAAACCTTTCAACCAAACCGATTCTTTACATGGTTCAGCAACAGCCATGTATTCTGTTTCAGTGGTAGACAGGGCAACAACGGGCTGCAATATTGCCCTCCAACTCACAGCACACCCACCAATAGTGAACACATAACCTGTGAGAGATCTCCTCTTATCCAAATCAGCAGCAAAATCTGAATCCACGTAGCCAGTGAGTCCCTTATCAGTCTTGCCAAACTTCAAACAAGCATTTATTGTGCCATGAAGGTACCCGAAAATCCACTGAACCGCCTTCCAATGTTCTTTACCAAGATTAGCCATGTATCTACTAACCAAACTCATAGCATATGATAAATCAGGACGAGAGCAAACCATGGCATATCATCAATGAACCAACAACACTAGAATATGGAACTCTTGACATGTACTCAAAATCCTCATCAGTACTAGCACATTGTAAAGCTGATAATTTAAAATGAGGAGCAATAGGAGTACTAACAGACTTTGCATCATGCATGTTGAAACGATGAAGAACTTTCTTAATGTAACTTTGCTGACTAAAAAATAACAAACCAGAATTTTTATCTCTTGTAATCTCCATACCTAGAATTTTCTTAGTAGCACCAAGATCCTTCATTTCAAACTCATTACTCAACAGTTTCTTCAACGTAGAGATTTCTTTCTTGCTCTTGGCAGCAATCAACATATAACATCAAGTATATAGGTGATCCATCAACAAATTTAATGTACACACAGCTATCAAATTCAGACCTCTTAAAACCATGTGACATCATAAAAAAATCAAACCTTTTATACCATTGATGAGAAGACTGTTTCAAACCATATAAGGACCTTTTTAATTTGCAAACATGATCCTCCTTACCAGGTACTATGAACCCTTCTGGCTGGTCATGTATATCTCCTTCCTCGAGCTCTTCATGTAGAAACTTAATCTTTACATCTAACGGCTAAAGCTCAAGATCTCGTATAGCAACAATACCGAAAAATGTATGAATTGAACTATGCTTTATAACTGCAGCGAACACATCATTATAATCAACACTAGGAATCTGACTGAAACATTTTGCTACTAACCTTGCCTTAAATCTTGGAGGCTCACTGGAAGATAAATCCTCCTTTCTCTTGAAGATCTATTTGCAACAAACGACATTCTTTTGTTTAGGCAAGCGCACAACATCCCATGTGCCATTTTTCTCGAGTGACTGCATCTCCTCTTGTATAGCGGAAATCCACTTCTCGCAGTCGCCAGAAACAACAACTTCAGTGTACGTAGCCGGCTCATGAATGTTCTCCACCTATTCAGCACAACTAAAGGCATAATGAACCATATCACATTCCTCAATTAAACATGTACGAGGTCCACAATTCCTCTTTGTTCTGCGATCTGCAATAGACTGATTTTGAGGCTACAAAACAGGAGGTGAGTGCTGAACAATATCATGAACATTGTTATCAACAATTTTAGTTTCCTGATCATCTACGTGCTCCACCTGCACGCTAACATGTTGTTGTTCCTCATCAGAACCAACTAAAGAAACATCTGTAGACAAAGCTATCATTAAACATAACAGATTCATTGAAAACAACGCTCCTGCTCATGAAAGTCTTTTTAGTTTTAGAATTCCATAACTTATATCCTTTAACTCTAGAACCATAACCAAGAAACAGACACTTAATGGCTCTAGGTTCTAGCTTTTCATTATCAACATGAGCATAAGCAGTGCAACCGAAAACTCTCAGATGTGAATAATCAGCAGGCATACCAGACCATACCTCAATAGGAGTTTTCTTATTAAGTCGGATAGAAGGTGACCGGTTGATCAAGTAATAGGCGGTGTTAGCAGCCTCAACCCAAAAAACGCCTGTTCATATGATCATTGGACAACATGCAACGAGCCCTCGAGATAATGGTTCAGTTCATGCGCTCAGCCACACCATTTTGTTGAGGAGTGTACGGGATGGTGTGGTGACTGACAATGCCTTCTTCCCTGTAGTAATCATTAAAAGCATCCAAACAGAATTCATCGCCATTGTCAGTACGAAGAAATTTTATCTTCTTTTCGGTTTGCCTTTCTATCATAACTTTCCATTCTTTAAAAGCAGCAAAAGTATCATCTTTATTTTTCAGAAAATAAGGCCACACTTCTAGAATAATCATCAATAATGGTAAGCATGTAATGAGCATCACCATAAGAGGGCTTACGAGACAGCCCCCACAAATCAGCATGTACATAATCAAGTGTACCTTTGGTGATATGAACAGATGCATTGAATTTTACCCTCTTGTGCTTACCAAAAACACAGTGCTCATAAAACTTCATCTTACCCACAACGCAGCCATCCAGCAGGTCTCTCTTGATCAATTCTGCCATACCAAGTTCACTCATATGCCCAAGACGCATATGCCAGAGGTTAGTCTTACTTGGTTCATCATTAGAAACAGTAGCAGCAGTGATGGAACCATGTAAAGTACTTCCTCAAAGAACATATAACTTTGCAGAATTCATATCACCTATCATATAAATGAAAGAGCCTTTTGATACCTTACACACTCCATCTGAACCAGAGTGTTTGTATGCCTTGGCATCAAGTGTGCTGAGGGAGATGAGATTTCTGGCCATCCATGATATGTGTCTCACATCTTTCAGTGTGCGTATCATGCCATCATGCATCTTGATCTGAACGAAGCCAATGTCCATGATCTCACGTGGGTTGTTATCTCCCATACGCACGACATCTCCACTCTGCACAGACTCGTAAGAACTGAACCAATCTCTATTAGAGCATATATGAAACGAGCATGCAGAATCAAGTATCCATTCATCACGACCAACAACACAACCAGTAAAAACAACAAGAACATCTCCTGAATCAGAACTATCAGCAGCGGAGACAACAGAGGCCTTACCATCACCATCGGATTTATTTTTCGGTTTATACGTACCGTTTCTTTTCTCCTTATTCTGCAGCTTCCAACAATCTTCAATGACATGAGTATCTTTCTTACAATACCTGTAGAACTTATCCCTGCCTCTGGACTTCGAACGGCCTTTACCGTTCTTGCTCTTATCTCGACTATTGTTGTTGTTGTAGGTTCTCTGCTCAGGCCTGCCTCTAACCTGCAACACTTCGCCCTTGGAGGATGACACGTCAGACTGAACCATATTTTTCATCTTCTCCCTCATCTGGAGGGCTTCATATACTTCACAAGGGTTAGTTCATCACGACTTAATAGTATGGCATCTCAGAAATTTGCAAACGAACTAGGCAGTGAGCATAACAGTGGAAGAGCTAAATCTTCATCATCATATTTTACCTCCATCGACACTAGGTTGGCAACGATCTCCTTAAAGATCGATAAGTGGTTCATCACCGAACCACCTTCTTGCAGCTTGTGTGTGAACAACTTCATCTTCACGTGCATCTTACTGGTTAGATCCTTGGACATGCAGATCGATTCCAGCTTGAGCCAAAGTTTTGCGACAGTTTTCTTCTGCAGCACTTCTTGCAAAATATCATTATGTAGATGAAGGTGAATCAGAGACAGAGCCTTACGATCCTTCCATTTCTCTTCAGCGGTCCATGACTTCTGCCCTTTGCCTCCGAAACCATCCAGCGCCTCATCAAGATCCGAAGATTGTGCCAGAATCGCCCGCATCTTGACTTGCCACAGCGAAAATCTCGTCTTGTAATCCAGTAGCGGTAGATCAAACTTCATCGATGCCATCGCAAAACCCTAATGTGAAACCAAGCTCTGGTACCACTTGTTAGAAACGATAGGCAATATAAACGACGAAGAACAGTAGATCAAGTACAGGGGACACGAGATTTTAACGTGGAAAACCCTCCCAAGGAGGAAGGAAAAAAATCATGGGCACTAGCCAGTAAATCTTCACTATATCAGGTGAGGTTACAAATGTTGGGGATTTACAACTTTTCTTATCCCAAGACGACGACTTACAGAAAGTATACATAGAGATGGAAAAACCCTAATAGGCGACGATCCGTACCGTGGCCCAAGCCTCCTGGCGACGGGCCTCGCTTCGCTCCGGCAGAAGTTTGCCTTAATCTTGTACATAACTAAATTTAGATCACAAATCAACAAGAGGAACCAGGACGGGGATGCCACTTCTTTCAGGTCCACGATATGCCAGACGATTTTGAGGCAGTATTTTTCGAAGATTCACGCCATGAGTAGCGCCTTTTTCACCCATGCAAAACAGCTCTTGGAGCGGTTGGAGAATATTGGAGAATATGTACCAAACGCGCCCTAATAATAGTAAGGCCTTCGCCGTAGTATGCGTGGCCCAGCACCCCAACGCCAACGGCAGGTCGTCCATCCATGGGCAGCTGTCTGTCTCTGTCGAGACCTACTTTTGCCCTCCAGCCCGCCACGCGTGTACTTGCACACTTACCTTTTGAGTCTCATCTCTAATTCAATCGAACGCTCGCTGTTGAGATCCCATTGGACGCGACCTCATCCATCAGACCATCACTCCATCAGTGACACCAAAGGCCAGATCGATGAGCAGCGCTAGCAGATCACAGTTCACGCGTCACTCTCGCTGCTTTATTTCCACAGTTTCCAGTGCCTGTGCCACCTGTGATGATGGGTAGGCCTAAGTACTCCCTCCGAAAGAAAAACGTTATGGGATCCGTGTAGATTAAATTTTGTTAACTTTAATTTGGCTCGTAAAAAATAAATCTGTCATCTTTTTGAGCCTACGCGTGTACTCTTGTCATCTTTTTGAGTCTTCACGAGTACGACGACGATGGCCGTGCAGACATGCACCGAGAGTCTGTCGCTCGACCGGGATCGGTCGCACCGCACAGGTGGGACGACGGGGATTCGCTCGCAGCGAAGCTCGATCGTACTGCGCAGCACCATGCACGGCATCGGCACGGCACAGGGTATGTAGCTAGGACTTACAGCTAATGTGTGGTCTAATCACCGAGGCCATGTTTGATCCCTATAGATAGTAGCTATAGACCGATAGTAGCTATAGACCCTATGTGTTGGGGTCTAAATACCGAGTACCTAAAGAGAGGAGTTAATAGCCGTTAATGGTAATGGTTCTGAACAAGACAAGGGCACAACTACACCTCTTGCCCGACCTCTGGGGATTGGCTCCGCCTCGTTCAACCCTTGAGGGACGGTTCCGCCTCGTCTGACCCCTGGGGGCCAGTTCCGCCTCGCCCGAGGTCTGAGGGCTAGGCTCCGCCTCGCCCGACGTCTAAAGGCTGGCTCCGCCTCGCCCGAGGTCTGAGGGCCCGACTTTGCCTCGCCCGACGTCCGAGGGCTGGCTCCGTCTCGCTCGACGTTCGAGGGCAGACTCCGCCTCGCCCGACGACTGCGCGTCACTCCTTCATAACTACGCGCGCAGATAAGACGGGGCACTCAAGTCAACCGTAATACTGAGGACCATACCCTGCATGTCTGCAGGAAAGTACCATCAGGATATGACAAGACAGACGCTTTAAACCCCTCCAGGCATGTCAGAGCCCGAACAGTGTTGTAGGCGCCGACATTTGTCTTACAGTGTTGTGGGCGCCGCCATTTGCCCTCGGGCGCGGATCCTGACGGAAGCATACGACAACCACTATGGTCCAGGAGACTCACATCATCTACAGTACGAATGCACGGTCACTGCGCCGCCTGCCCCCAGTAAGGTCGCGGATCAGCACCCTGGTCTGTCGCGCCGTCCGCCGGGGCAGGATGGGACGTGACCACTTGCTAACATGGCCAGAATATGCGCCCAGAATGGAGCTATCCCTGGCGTCGTCTGCCGTGTCAGCGGAACTCGCTCAAAGGAAAAGAAGGACCCGGCGTCGTTGAAGGACCTCCTTGACCTCTGGTTTTTCTCCCTTCTCCCATTTGTAATCCCTGCTTTCCCTTGGTCTATAAAAGGGAAGGCAGGGCACCCCACTAAGGGGATAGATCGATTACACACACATCACACCACATAGCTGAGTTGTACCGAAGCTCTCAGCACTCGTACGACATTTCCATCCGAGACTTGGGACCTGTCCCTCTCTCATCCATTTGTACCCATACTACAAACTTTTCAATGCTAATACACGAGCAGCCACCATGAACTGGACGTAGGGACATTCTGCCCGAACCAGTATAATCCTTGTGTCATTTTTTAGCACACCATCCGGGACTAACGCGCAATAATACAAATTTACTCGTTGGTGTTTACTCGAAACACCGACAGTTGGCGCGTCAAGTAGGGGCCTTTGCGCGTTCCGACATCAACATCAGGCCGTGGATGGCTAGCCACGATATCAGCTAGGTCCTGGGCGCACACGTACATTTCGGAGACCTCGATTTCATCATCACGACGGAGGGAGACCTTGCGCGGACACCCATCACCGTTCAAACCTATCACTCCGCCGGCCTCGACACACTCACCGAGATGTTCCCGTTCGGTCTCCGCAATGCCGCAGAGACCGTCGGCCACCTTGTGGCGCAACGCATGGTTCCATCCCCCATGAACGACGAGTTAGTGGGGATGATCGAACACGTCGCGGAATCTGTCCACGAACTCCTTGCAGAGGAGCCGGAATCACCCTCTGGCTCTGAGTCCAGCAAGGGAAGCCACCTCCCATGAAAGCTTCATGGCGAATACCCTTGAGGGACACGTCAAAAGCATTCCCAGAGAGGAGGCAACCCTGACGAATGACCTTGGCGACGAAGCCGAGGGAGAAATGGTGGCCCCACCTCGCTTGACGGTGGAGCAGCTGAAAGCTCGACACCAAGAGCTCGATGAAGCGCGACTCTAGCTCAAGCAAGAATGCGTCGAGCTCGATTGGGAGATCGGGCGCCACGGAGATGGCAGGCGCACACGCGCCATGGCCCGCAACATGAACCGGAGGATCATCGACGATGATGAAGGCCTCCCTCGCTTCGTCCAAGCAAGCCAGAACATCGCCGCTGCGGTGGCCTTGCTCCATGGCCTTCCAGAGGCAGCGACGCCCGAGGATCGTCGGGCCCGCAACGAGATTCACACGCTGCTCGAGCGTGCGACGACACAGCAGGCCAAAAGTTCATTGTCTCGACGACGTGAGCTCGACGCCAGCCAGCGCACGCCCTCAGAGCATCCTAGCAGGGATGCATTGGTCCACCAGGAGCCACAAGGAAGTAGGCAGCCCACCGCAGTCCTGGTGCGTCAGCGTCTCAGCCGCAACTGTGACGCACGCGACACCCTCGACACCCATAGACGCGCCTACAACGACCCGAGAGAGGGAGCTAGATGTGGCTATCACATTCACCATGGCGGACGCTACGACAGCGGCGAGGACCGAAGCCAGGCGGGGGCCTTAGGTGTTTGGCCGACACATCCTCAGCGCTGCCTTCCCGCCAAGGTACCGACCACCAACCAATATCCCAAAGTACTCTAGGGAAACAAACCCTGGACTATGGCTCGAAGACTACCGGCTTGCCTGCCAAGCTTGTGGTGCGGATAATGATGACTTCATTATTCGCAACCTTCCATTGTTCTTAGCTGATTCAGCAAGAACTTGGTTGGAACACCTTCTGTCCAATAGAATCCTGAGTTGGGCGGACTTAAAGGAGATCTTCATTGAAAACTTCCAGGGCACATACAAGCGCCCTGGAAACTCGTGGGACCTCAATAATTATGGATAGAAGGCCGGAAAAACCCTCCGTGGGTACATCCGGCGCTTCTCGTGACAATGCAACGAATTCCCTAACGTCGCCGACGCCAACGTTATTGGAGCTTTTCTGTCCGGGACCACCTGCGAGTCTCTGGTTCACAAGCTGGGGCGTAAGGGCCCGTGAACCACCAAGGAGCTCCTAGACATCGCCACCAGCCACGCCTCAGGCGAAGAAGCGATCGAAGCGATCTTCGATCGCCTCGATGGTAAGGCGAAGCGAGACGAGGACACCGACGAAGGCGCCTCCAATCGTTCCGCTAAGAAGAAGAACAAGAAGCAACGGCACGAGGGCTCGCTTGTAGCCGTCGCTGACCGCAAGGGTGGTCGGAAGCCCACGGAAGGCACTCTGAACCACTTTGAAAAACTACTCGAGGGGCCATGTCCAAACCATGCTTTCCTGGTCAAGCATCTGTACAAGGACTACAGCCTCATGCGGCGGTTCTTGTCCGGAGGCTCCAACAAAGGGGAGCAAGGAAAGGACCCTGCCCCCACCACGGACGACACCGAGGAGAAGGAAGGTGACTTCCCGACGCCTGACGGCTGCCTCATGATCTTCGGGGGTCGACGGCCTATGGCTCCAAGCGCCGCCAGAAGATCGCGCGCTGCGAGGTCTATACGACCGAACCGGCCACACCCACTTTCCTCCGGTGGTTAGAATCTGCCATAACCTTCGACCGGACCGACCACCCAGAGAGTGTCTCGCAACTAGGGCGATATCCTCTCATGGTCAACCCGATCATCGACCCAAAGCATCTCACTAAGGTACTGATGGACGAAGGTAGCGGCCTCAATATCATGTACGCCGAGACGCTCAACACAATGGGCATTGACCAGGAGCACATCCGACCAACTAGAGCGCCTTTCCATGGCATCGTGCCTAGAAAGCAGGCCATGTCGTTTGGGCAAATCGATCTGCCTGTCACTTTCCAACTACAGGACGGAGACCCTCACCTTTGAAGTGGTTGGGTTCCTTGGAACTTACCATGCCATCCTGGGATGACCATATTACGCGAAGTTCATGGCCGTCCCCAACTACACGTACCTCAG